CTAGCCATCATAATCTTCGACTTATCTAAGTTTACACAAACACTGACATGTTTATGATAGGAGCAAACTATTAAATGAAATCTTAGATACACTAAAAGTCCTACATCGACTCTCTTAAGACGAGGTAGCTAGAAAGTACCACCATAGACGAGATACCCCTATTCGTCCAAGTTTTCCCTTTTACTTACCGAAATTTTCACAAACATTTTAAATCTTCGTTGTGTCGGGTTTGTGTAAAAACTTTCTGCTTGTTACCGGGATACGCGGCAGGCCTCTTCCCCAGGTAAATATGGTGGTTTTATTTTCCTTCATTTTTTTTTTTCAATAAGGCTTGGATTTCTGTTTCGTTTTGCTTTTATGCCTTCAAATTTTCTGGGTAATTGAGAAGAAGTGGGTGTATGTTTAGATGAGGTAGTTGATCTAGGTGTGTGGACAGGAGTGTTTTTAAATAGTGCTGAGACCAGCAACGGAATGTCTTGGACATTTGTTTTTCGCTTTGTAGGTGTCTGTGTCACAGATTTGGATATAGTTGGATGAGCAAATATTTTCGTGGATGTTGTGGAAGACAGGGCAGAGGTTGTGGAACCTTTTACACCCAGCGGCAAGGATTCCTTTTCGCGCTTACATGAGATTTGTTGTTTCAACTTAATTAGATGGCCGTTCTTTTTTTCAAACCACGGCTGATATATTTTTTGAAGTCCCATATCGGGATTGCAGCTGGGGCGTCGCCCTTGAAACTGCTAGAGAGACTAGGGCTGTACTGACCTTTCTCTTTGAGGGCTTCCAGGATCTGAGGTCCCACTCTCTGGTACTTCCCTCTTACTATGCATACGACTAGGTATTCCTGCTTCCCCCCCTTCAACAATCACACAAGCGTCGGGAAAAGTCATTACGGATAATGGGGGTGGGGATCCCAAGAGACAAACCATGGCTTAACTGCAACGATGCCAGTTGCTGGCAGGCACTTTACAGGCGAGGCGGATTTAAAAGAGTCGACCAGAGCAAGATTTTGGTCAATCGGCTCAATTAAGAATTTTGATAATTAATAGAAAAAATAAACACGATAAAATAGGTGCAGACATCATCAAACAACAAAAAATCAAAACAAATAAAATTCAAAGAATGGCACAGACGTTTAAACATCTACAACAAGATGTCACGAGGCATGGTAATTTATATACTGGCTCTAAAAATGGCCAGCATTTTGACTTGAGATGCGACGGGAGATCAAGAGGTTGGTGGATAGAAGGATGCGTTGGGGAGGGTTAGATTGGTTTATAGAGGGTCATAATCCTTCACTAGCTATTGGTGGTACCAGGGTGAAGGGGAAGCAGGTTCGTCCATCTCTCGTTTTCTTCTTTGCCATTTTTCAAATTTTTAAATTTTGGTCCTTATTCTAAGGAATTGATAGTTATTCTCCAGTCACCAAAAATATCAATCCCATTGAATCTAGAAGAATCTTCAACAGAATTTTGAGACTCATTTAATAGAATTTATATTATGGGAGGTTTGAATAATCATAATTAAGTAATTCTTCGAGTCTCAGCAGAAAGCAGTGGACGGCCGTTTCGTCCTATTTTGGAATTCCTCAGCAGTGCTCTTCCAATACCGAGAGTCCAACCCCGTACTGTTAATATACGACTCAAATGCTATACCCACTGGACCAAAAGGACTAGGTGACGTAAAGGTAACTAACTAGACTCGATATAGCGTTGGACTAAGTAACCTTGAATGAGTTACAAGGTGGAAATTGCGAAGAGCGGCGCTATATCGTGTCTAGTTAGGTACCTCTTCATTACTGTTGGCCCATTGGGAATGACGTTTGCATCGTATCGTAACAGTCCGGGTTCGATTCTCAGTTGTGGATACGCACAGCTGATGAGTCACAAAATAGGAGGAAGCGGCCGTCCAATATATATATATATATATATATATATATATATATATATATATATATCCCACCTATATAGTACGACCCGGAGTTTCATGCAAATAAGCAATAATCAGCTGCAAAAATTCCCATTCTTATAACTGTATGATTCCAAATCAGGATCCGTAAGATTGCAGATTCATCAAGAATCTTAAAGTATATGCCAGAATACTCTGACTAGATGTGAAATCAATATTAAATGTATGGGCGAATGGTAGATTAATGAATTTGTATGATAGATATGAGCATAAAATTTAGTCTAGAATGAGCCACTGAATCAATGTTCCTAGCACCAGACCTAGCAATTGATTCAATATAATCTTTTTCACGTTATTTTCATATAATATTCCTACAATTTCAGCGGAAAACGTTAAGCCGAGAAAACGCAGAGTTTAGTAACAGACATGATACTTGTGTTTTTATATATATATATATATATATACACATATATATATATATATATATATATATATATATATATATATATATATATATATATATATATATATATATAAATATATATACACACACACACATATATATATATATATATATATATATATATATATATATATATATATATATATGCACGTAAACGTATATATGTGAATACGTGTGAATACTGGAACAACACACAAGTCTAGAAAAGCACATCAACCGACAGAAAAACAATAATTTGCTATATCTTGGGCTTCAATATTTCTGCTACATTTTCTATAATTTTTTTTAATTTTATTTTTAATATTAAACTTTATTTACTTTATTATTATTATTATTATTATTATTATTATTATTATTATTATTATTATTATTATTAATCTTTTCCGAGGCTAAAATTGCATCTTGTATTACTTTCATCTTTAACTCTATCATTTGCTGAAGTGAAACACAAAGAGAATAGATCTTGAATTATGAGAACAAAGATAGGATACTTTTTTTGTGCTTTCGGGGCGAACAGAAATAAAAAGAGTTGTAATTTGATCTGTTCACACATCATATATATGTATATTGTTTGGACGGAATATATTTTGGGAATTTGCAATCATTCGTCAGTCTGGAAAGTTTTTCTTTTTCGTATTGCATCGAAATTCATAAACATTCTTAGACAAACATGTTTCATAAAAAATATCAATATTCAAACAGATGATCATATTACCATTATTATCAGGTGAAGTATGATCGATAGGAAAACATTTTTATTTCTTTATAAATACAATGGTCAATAGAGAACAGGTCATCAAACCATACCTGTCACTTATGATTAAGAGATATTAAGCACATTCTGTTCTGGTAATAACGCTTGCATTTTTTCATATTCAGAATTCATATAACTCTGTGAGCAACTTGATTGTAAAATTTCGAGGATACCTCTTTCTTGTGTGAGATGAACAAGAATGAAAATTGCATATGAATGGATTAATCGCTATTAAAATAGTTGATAAATGAGAAGAAATTTGTGCACATCAGGATTTCGGTGTGTAAAATTTTATCTTATTTACGTTAGTTTGTTTAGTATTGTGTGAGCAGTATATGTGGATTATACTCTTTTCGAAACAAATTTCTCTGAACTTGCGTACCATTTATCATTCTTACTCTGGGAGTAGGGTGCTTTGTATTAGATATGGTTAGTAAGCTAATCTGCTTGATCATTTCTACTGAGTAATGAGGTCGGCCGTATAAAAATGAGTGTCCCGTATAAAAACAAGACATGCCATAAAACCAACCACAATTAAACCGGGATACATAACCTCAAATTGAGATTGTTAATTATTTTGAATGAATACAAGTTGATCTAGCTGCTTAGATGTTTTTTTTTTCTATTATGAATAGGCAAACTGTTTCCATCCATATAATTTTTCGTCAATAATGTAACTTATTTGCTCTTTGAGCCCTGACCACCCCTTTACCGGTGGTAGAGAAAAATCACGTAATGCGCAGACACCGGTTTAACAGTGGTAGAGAATAATAACTTAATGCCCAGCTACCGGTTGAACGGTGGGAAAACACTTGTAACTATTTTTATATCTACCGTGAAATATTGCGTATCAATTATTTACGAAGTGTGACTCAGGAGTTCAGTCAGAAGGGTTGAAACTGTTTAGGAAAGCAAGCGTCAAAGGGTTAAATATTCAAAATAGAAAAAAAAGGCAGAAAAATCATCTTAACAATGAAGATGTTTCAACGTAATTTCCACCTTCAGTACATCAGAAAAACTGCTCAATAATAAAAAGAATAGTACGTTTCACTTGTATCTCTCCGAACCGGTTCACTTGGTTGGCATATTTGCCTTGGTAATTTTATTCATTCGTCAATATACTATTATACAATTTTCGTGTAGATAGTGCTCGTCATCCCGGAAAGGAAGTCCATGAAGAGGAAGGAAAATCCTGATTTTATATCTTCGCTGTCTCATGGCTATTTCAAAACACTGAAAATCTATAGGCGTAAATCCATCTAATTCGATGGCAAGAAACGAAAGCCGTTTGCAGTCAACCTCTACAAACTTACGGCAATCCTGCAGCTCAGCGGGCGCTATGTGTACGCTATATGTAACGCCGTCTATTCATTTGTGTTTTTTTTCGGCACAGCTGAAATGGAGGGCACGCGGTTTGAAGAGCACATGACCTCCATCTATCATCGCTAAGACCTGCATCCTGGAGACTACGCTTCTACCGCGAACCAAATTATGGACTTTGGCCCAAACACAGTACTACCATTATCGCCAGAGATAAAAGAATGCCTACTATTATAAAAACGTGCATTGTTTTAGTGCATTGGTATACAAGTTCTCTGCGTAAATAAATTACTAGTGAGTTCGATATTCGAAACATTCGAATACATATGATTCTATGTCACATGTTATATACGCTTAGTAAGTCAGCCGTAAGGTAAGATGTCTTGATTTCTGTTAGAGTTTCACAATTTGGTCACGCCAAAATTTACTTCTGAGTACAGAATTTGATATTCATTTATTTTGGTCATTATTATGATTATAGTAAATAATGCTAAACTAGCATAATCTCAAACTACTTAAGTTTCCAACACAAATAGTTTTACCACGAATTTATAATTATAGTAATTCTTCATCACTGTCTTCCTCAGGAGTTAGCAAACTGTGCGGCGGAAGAGGATAGTGGATGAGGCGGAAGAGAATAGCAGGTGAGGCGGAGGAGGATAGCAGGTGAGGCAGAAGAGAATTGCAGGTCAGGCGGATGAGGATAGAAGGTGAGGCAGAAGAGAATTGCAGGTGAGGCGGATGAGGATAGAAGGTGAGGCAGAAGAGAATTGCAGGTGAGGCGGAAGAGGATAGAAGGTGAGGCAGGAGAGAATTGCAGGTGAGGCGGAAGACAATTGCAGGTGAGGCGGAAGAGGATAGAAGGTGAGGCAGAAGAGAATTGCAGGATGAGGTGAAGGGGGAAGAGGAGGCGGAAGAAGGGATAGAAGGTGAGGCAGAAGAGAATTGCAGGTGAGGCGGAAGAGGATAGCAGGTGAGGCAGAATTGCAGGTGAGGAAGGAGGCAGAATAGAGGCGGAGGCAGAGGAGGGAGGAGAAGAGGCAGGTGAGGCGGAAGAGGATGGAAGGTGAGGCAGAAGAGAATTGCAGGTGAGGCGGATGAGGATAGAAGGTGAGGCAGAAGAGAATTGCAGGTGAGGCGGAAGAGGATAGAAGGTGAGGCAGAAGAGAATTGCAGGTGAGGCGGAAGAGGATAGCAGGTGAGGCAGAAGAGAATTGCAGGTGAGGCGGAAGAGGATAGAAGGAATTGAGGCAGCGGAAGAGGATAGCAGGTGAGGCGGAAGAGGATAGAGGAAGGTGAGGCAGAAGAGAATTGCAGGTGAGGCGGAAGAGGATAGCAAGGTGAGGCAGAAGGAATTGCAGGTGAGGCGGAAGAGGATAGAAGGTGAGGCAGAAGAGATTGCATATGTGAGGCGGAAGAGGAGAAGGTGAGGCAGAAGAGGAGGCAGGGAAGAGGATGAGGAAGAAGGGAGGCAGAAGAGAATTGCAGGTGAGGCGGAAGAGGATAGCAGGTGAGGCAGAAGAGAATTGCAGGTGAGGCGGAAGAGGATAGCAGGTGAGGCAGAAGAGAATTGCAGGTGAGGCGGAAGAGGATAGCAGGTGAGGCGGAAGAGGATAGAAGGTGAGGCAGAAGAGAAGCAGGTGAGGCGGAAGAGGATAGAAGGTGAGGCGGAAGAGAATTGCAGGTGAGGCGGAAGAGGATTGAAGGTGAGGCAGAAGAGAATTGCAGGTGAGGCGGAAGAGGATGAGGCAGAAGAGAAGCAGGTGAGGCTGAAGAGGATAGAAAGAAGAGAATTGCAGGTGAGGCGGAAGAGGATGAGGCAGAAGGTGCAGGAGGCAGAAGAAGAGGATTGCAGGTGAGGCGGAAGAGGACAGAAGAGAATTGCAGGTGAGGCGGAAGAGGATTGAGGCAGGTGAGGCGGAAGAGGATAGCAGGTGAGGCAGAAGAAGGTGAGGGGGAAGAGGATAGCAGGTGAGGCAGAAGAGGATTGCAGGTGAGGCGGAAGAGGAAAGAAGGTGAGGCAGAAGAGAATTGCAGGTGAGGCGGAAGATAGAAGGGAGGCAGAAGAGAATTGCAGGTGAGGCGGAAGAGGATTGAAGGTGAGCAGAAGAGAATTGCAGGTGAGGCGGAAGAGGATAGCAGGTGAGGAGGAAGAAAATTGCAGGTGAGGCGGAAGGATAGAAGAGGAAGAGCAGGTGAGGAGGAAGAGGAAGAGGTGAGGCAGAAGAGAATTGGATGAGGCGGAAGAGGATAGCAGGTGAGGCAGAAAGAGAATGAGGCGGAAGAGGATAGAAGGTGAGGCAGAAGAGAATTGCAGGTGAGGCGGAAGAGGATAGAAGGTGAGGCAGAAGAGAATTGCAGGTGAGGTGGAAGAGGATAGAAGAGGCAGAAGAGAAGGGAGGCGGGAAGAGGATAGAAGGTGAGGCAGAAGAGGATTGCAGGTGAGGCGGAAGAGGATAGAAGGTGAGGCAGAAGAGAATTGCAGGTGAGGCGGAAGAGGATAGAAAGAGGAAGAGGCAGAGGTGAAGGCGGAAGAGGATTGAAGGTGAGGCGGAAGAGAATAGCAGGTGAGGCGGAAGAGGATAGAAGGTGAGGCAGAAGAGAATTGCAGGTGAGGCGGAAGAGGATAGAAGGTGAGGCAGAAGAGAATTGCAGGTGAGGCGGAAGAGGATAGAGGGAAAGGCAGGAGGCATATGAGGTGGAGGCGGAGAGGATTGCAGGTGAGGCGGAAGAGGATAGAAGGTGAGGCAGAAGAGAATTGCAGGTGAGGCGGGAAGAGGATAGCAGGTGAGGCGGAAGTGAGGCAGGTGAGGCGGAAGAGAATTGCAGGTGAGGCGGAAGAGGATAGCAGGTGAGGCAGAAGAGGAAGAGGCAGAAAAAGGCAGAGAGAATTGCAGGTGGAAGAAGAGGATAGAAGGTGAGGCAGAAGAGAATTGCAGGTGAGGCGGAAGAGGGATAGAATTGCAGGTGAGGCGGAAGAGAATTGCAGGTGAGGCGGAAGAGGATGAAGGTGAGGCGGAAGAGAATTGCAGGTGAGGCGGAAGAGGCAGGTGAGGCGGAAGAGGATAGAAGGTGAGGCAGAAGAGAATTGCAGGTGAGGCGGAAGAGGGAAGAGGAGAAGAGAGGTGAGGCGGAAGAGGATTGCAGGTGAGGCAGAAGAGAATTGCAGGAGGCGGATGAGGATAGAAGGTGAGGCAGAAGAGAATTGCAGGTGAGGCGGAAGAGGATAGAAGGTGAGGCAGAAGAGAATTGCAGGTGAGGCGGAAGAGGATAGAAGGTGAGGCAGAAGAGAATTGCAGGTGAGGCGGAAGAGGAGGCAGGTGAGGCGGGAAGAAAATTGCAGGTGAGGAAGGATAGCAGGTGAGGCAGAAGAGAATTGCAGGTGAGGCGGAAGAGGATAGAAGGTGAGGCAGAAGAGAATTGCAGGTGAGGCGGAAGAGGATAGAAGGTGAGGCAGAAGAGAATTGCAGGTGAGGCGGAAGAGGAAGAAGGTGAGGCAGAAGAAGAGGCAGGTGAGGCGGAAGGATAGCAGGTGAGGCGGAAGAGGTGAGGCGGATGATGATGAAGGTGAGGCAGAAGAGAATTGCAGGTGAGGCGGAAGAGGAAGAGGATAGAATTGCATATGAGGCGGAAGAGGATTGAAGGTGAGGCAGAAGAGAATTGCAGGTGAGGCGGAAGAGGATAGCAGGTGAGGCGGAAGAGAATTGCAGGTGAGGCGGAAGAGGATAGAAGGTGAGGCAGAAGAGAATTGCAGGTGGAGGCGGAAGAGGATAGATATGAGGCAGAAGAGAATTGCAGGTGAGGTGGAAGAGGGCAGGTGCGGAAGAGAATTGCAGGTGAGGCGGAAGAGGATAGCAGGTGAGGGCGGAAGAGGGAAGAGATTTGCACGTGAGGCGGAAAAGAAGGTGAGGCAGAAGAGAAGGTGAGGCGGATGAGGATAGAAGGTGAGGCAGAAGAGAATTGCAGGTGAGGCGGAAGAGGATAGAAGGTGAGGGAAGAGGATTGCAGGTGAGGCGGAAGAGGATTGCAGGTGAGAAGAGAATTGCAGGTGAAGCGGAAGAGGATAGCAGGTGAGGCAGAAGAGAAAGGAGGATAGAAGGTGAGGCAGAAGAGAATTGCAGGTGAGGCGGAAGAGGATAGAAGGTGAGGCAGAAGAGGAATTGCAGGTGAGGCGGAAGAGGATGAAGGGCGGAAGAGGATTGCAGGTGAGGCGGAAGAGGAAGAGGCAGAAGAGAATTGCAGGTGAGGCGGAAGAGGATGGAAGGTGAGGCAGAAGAGAATTGCAGGTGAGGCGGAAGAGGATAGAAGGTGAGGCAGAAGAGAATTGCAGGTGGAGGCGGAAGAGGATAGAGGTGAGGTGAGGCAGAAGAGGAATTGCAGGTGAGGCGGAAGAGGATAGAAGGTGAGGCAGAAGAGAATTGCAGGTGAGGCGGAAGAGGATAGAAGGTGAGGCAGAAGAGAATTTGAAGGTGGAAGAGGTGAGCGGCGGAAAGGTGAGTGGGAAGCAGGTGAGGCAGGATAGAAGGTGAGGCGGAAGAGAATTGCAGGTGAGGCGGAAGAGGAGGTGAGGCAGAAGAGAATTGCAGGAGGGGAAGAGGATAGCAGGTGAGGAAGAGAATTGCAGGTGAGGCGGAAGAGGATAGAAGGTGAGGCAGAAGAGAATTGCAGGTGAGGCGGAAGAGGATAGAAGGTGAGGCAGAAGAGAATTGCAGGTGAGGCGGATGAGGATAGAAGGTGAGGCAGAAGAGAATTGCAGGTGAGGCGGAAGAGGCAGGTGAGGCGGGAAGAGGATGGAAGGTGAGGCAGAAGAGAATTGCAGGTGAGGCGGAAGAGGATGAAGGTGAGGCAGAAGAGAATTGCAGAGGCGGAAGAGGATGAGGCGGAAGAGGATAGAAGATGAGGCAGAAGAGGATTGCAGGTGAGGCGGAAGAGGACAGCAGATGAGGCGGGAAGAGAATTGCAGGGATGAGGCAGGAAGAGAATTGCAGGTGAGGCGGAAGAGGATAGCAGGTGCGGCGGAAGAGAATTGCAGGTGAGGCGGAAGAGGATAGCAGGTGAGGCAGAAGAGAATTGCAGGTGAGGCGGAAGAGGAGAGGATGAGGAGGAAAGTGAGGCAGAAGAGAATTGCAGGTGAGGCGGAAGAGGATAGCAGGTGAGAAAGAAGAGGCGGATGATTGAATGGGGAGGAGAAGAGAATTGCAGGTGAGGCGGAAGAGGATAGAAGGTGAGGCAGAAGAGAATTGCAGGTGAGGCGAGGAAGAGGGAAGAGGAGAATTGCAGGTGAGGCAGGAAGAGAATTGCAGGTGAGGCGGATGAGAGGATAGGATAGGTGAGGCGGAAGAGGATAGAGGCAAGAAGAGAATTGCAGGTGAGGCGGAAGAGGATAGAAGGTGAGGAAGGGGAAGATAGCAGGTGAGGCGGAAGAGGAATGAGAGGCGGAAGAGAATTGCAGGTGAGGCGGAAGAGGATAGAAGGTGAGGCGGAAGAGAATTGCAGGTGAGGCGGAAGAGGATAGCAGGTGAGGCAGAAGAGGATTGAGGCAGGTGAGGCAGAAGAGAATTGCAAGGCGGAAGGATAGGAAGGTGAGGCAGAAGAGAATTGCAGGTGAGGCGGAAGAGGATAGCAGATGAGGCGGAAGAGAATTGCATATGAGGCGGAAGAAGAGAATTGCAGGTGAGGCGGAAGAGGGATAGAAGGTGAGGCGGAAGAGAATTGCAGAAGAGGTGAGGCGGAAGAGGATAGCAGGTGAGGCAGAAGAGGATTAGCAGGTGAGAAGGCGGAAGAGGATAGCAGGTGAGGGAGGGAAGAGAATTGCAGGTGAGGCGGAAGAGGATAGAAGGTGAGGCAGAAGAGAATTGCAGGTGAGGCGGAAGAGGATAGAAGTGAGGTGAGGCGGAAGAGGATAGGTGAGGCGGAAGAGAATTGCAGGTGAGGCGGAAGCAGAAGATGAGGCAGAAGAGAATTGGCAGGTGAGGCGGAAGAGGATGAGGCAGAAGAGAAAGAGGTGAGGGCAGAAGAGAATTGCAGGTGAGGCGGAAGAGGAGGAATGAGGCAGAAGAGAAGGTGAGGCGGGAAGAGGATAGAAGGTGAGGGAAGAGAATTGCAGGTGAGGTGGAAGAGGATAGAAGGTGAGGCGGAAGAGGAAGAAGGTGAGGCAGAAGAGAATTGCAGGTGAGGCGGAAGAGGATAGAGAAAGGTGAGGCGGAAGAGAATTAGAGGTGAAGAGGAAGGTGCGGCGGAAGAGAATTGCAGGTGAGGCGGAAGAGGATGGAAGGTGAGGCAGAAGAGAATTGCAGGTGAGGCGGAAGAGGATAGAAGGTGAGGCAGAAGAGAATTGCAGGTGAGGCGGAAGAGGATAGAAGGTGAGGCAGAAGAGAATTGCAGGTGAGGCGGAAGAGGATAGAAGGTGAGGCAGAAGAGAATTGCAGGTGAGGCGGAAGAGGATAGAAGGTGAGGCAGAAGAAGAGAGGCGGAAGAGGATTGAAGGTGAGGCGGAAGAGAATAGCAGGTGAGGTGGAAGAGGCAGAATTGCATGAGGCGGAAGAGGATAGAAGGTGGAGGCGGAAGAGAATTGCAGGTGAGGCGGAAGAGGATAGCAGGTGAGGCAGAAGAGAAATTGCAGGATGAGGCGGAAGGTGAGGAGAAGAGGAGGGAGGAAGGTGAGGCAGAAGAGAATTGCAGGTGAGGCGGAAGAGGTGAGGATTGCAGGTGAGGCGGAAGAGGATAGAAGAGAAGAGAATTGCAGGTGAGGCGGAAGAGGATAGCAGGTGAGGCAGAAGAGAAAGAGGCGGAAGAGGATAGAAGGTGAGGCAGAAGAGAATTGCAGGTGAGGCGGAAGAGGATAGAAGGTGAGGCAGAAGAGAATTGCAGGTGAGGCGGAAGAGGATAGATGGCGGAAGAGAATTGAGGCGGAAGAGGATTGCAGGTGAGGCGGAAGAGGATAGCATATGAGGCGGAAGAGAATTGCAGGTGAGGCGGAAGAGGAGAGAATTGCAGGTGAAGAGAATTGCAGGTGAGGCGGAAGAGGATAGAAGGTGAGGCAGAAGAGAATTGCAGGTGAGGCGGAAGAGGATGGCAGGTGAGGCAGAAGAGAAGAGAATTGCAGGTGAGGCGGAAGAGGATAGCAGGTGAGGCAGAAGAGAATTGCATATGAGGCGGAAGAGGAAGCAGAGAGGCAGAAGAGGATTGCAGGTGAGGCGGAAGAGGATAGCAGGTGAGGCAGAAGAGAATTGCAGGTGAGGCGGAAGAGGAGGCAGAAGAGAAAGTGAGGGAAGGTGAGGAAGAGAATTTGAGGCGGAAGAGGGCAGAAGGTGAGGCGGGAGAGAATTGAGGTGAGGCGGAAGAGGATAGAAAGAGGCAGAAGAGAATTGCAGGTGAGGCGGGAAGAGGGATGAGGCGGAAGAGGTGAGGCAGAAGAGAATTGCAGGTGAGGCGGGAAGAGGAAAGAAGAGGGCAGAAATGAGGCGGAAGAGGAAGGTGAGGCGGAAGGACAGAAGGTGAGGCGGAAGAGAATTGCAGGTGAGGCGGAAGAGGATAGCAGGTGAGGCAGAAGAGAATTGCAGGTGAGGCGGAAGAGGATAGCAGGTGAGGCGGAAGAGAATTGCAGGTGAGGCGGAAGAGGATGAAGGTGAGGCAGAAGAGAATTGAGGCGGAAGAGGAAGAAGGGGTGAGGCGGAAGAGTGAGGGGGAAGAGGAAGGTGAGGCAGAAGAGAATTGCAGGTGAGGCGGAAGAGGATGGAAGGTGAGGCGGAAGAGGATGGAAGGTGAGGAGAAGAGAATTGCAGGTGAGGCGGAAGAGGACAGAAGGTGAGGCAGAAGAGGATTGCAGGTGAGGCGGAAGAGGATAGGAAGGTGAGGCAGAAGAGAATTGCAGGTGAGGCGGAAGAGGATAGAAGGTGAGGCAGAAGAGAATTGCAGGAGAGGCGGGCGAGAGAAGAGAATTGCAGGAGGCGGAAGAGGATTGAAGGTGAGGCAGAAGAGAATTGCAGGTGAGGCGGAAGAGGATAGAAGGGAGGAAGAGAATTGCAGGTGAGGCGGAAGAGGATAGAAGGTGAGGCAGAAGAGAATTGCAGGTGAGGCGGAAGAGGATAGAAGGTGAGGCAGAAGAGAATTGCAGGTGAGGCGGAAGAGGATAGCAGGTGAGGCGGAAGAGAATTGCAGGTGAGGCGGAAGAGGATAGAAGGTGAGGCAGAAGAGAATTGCAGGTGAGGCGGAAGAGGATAGAAGGTGAGGCAGGGAAGAGGATAGAAGAGGATAGAAGGTGAGGGAAGAGGATTGCAGGGAGGGAGGAGGAGAAGGTGAGGCAGAAGAGAATTGCAGGTGAGGCGGAAGAGGATAGAAGGTGAGGCAGAAGAGAATTGCAGGTGAGGCGGAAGAGGATAGAAGGTGAGGCAGAAGAGAATTGCAGGTGAGGCGGAAGAGGACAGGAAGAAGGATTGCAGGTGAGGCGGAAGAAGAGAATGAGGCGGAAGAGGGAAGAGGATAGAAGGTGAGGCAGAAGAGAATTGCAGGTGAGGCGGGAAGAGGATAGAAGGTGAGGCAGAAGAGAATTGCAGGTGAGGCGGAAGAGGATAGAAGGTGAGGCGGAAGAGAATTGCAGGTGAGGCGGAAGAGGATAGCAGGTGAGGCAGAAGAGAATTGCATATGAGGCGGAAGAGGATTGAAGGTGAGGCAGAAGAGAATTGCAGGTGAGGCGGAAGAGGATTGCAGGTGAGGCAGAAGAGGATTGCAGGATGAGGCGGAAGAGGAAAGGTGATTGAAGAGGATTGCAGGTGAGGCGGAAGATGAGGCGGGAAGAGGATTGCAGGTGAGGCGGGAAGAGGAGAAGAGAATTGCATGAGGCGGAAGAAAGAAGGTGAGGCAGAAGAGGATGAGGCGGAAGGATATGAGGCGGAAGAGAATTGCAGGGAGGAAGAGGATAGAAGGTGAGGCAGAAGAGAATTGCAGGTGAGGCGGAAGAGGATAGAAGGTGAGGCAGAAGAGAATTGCAGGTGAGGCGGAAGAGGATAGCAGGTGAGGCGGAAGAGGATAGAAGGTGAGGCAGAAGGAAGAGGATAGCAGGAGGAGGCAGAAGAGAATTGCAGGTGAGGGCGGAAGAGGATAGAAGGTGAGGCGGAAGAGAGGAGAGGATAGCAGGTGAGGCAGAAGAGAATCGCAGGTGAGGCGGAAGAGGTGAGAAGAGAATTGCAGGTGAGGCGGAAGAGGTGAGGTGAGGCAGAAGAGGCGGAAGAAGAGGATTGCAGGTGAGGCGGGAAGAGAATTGCAGGTGAGGCGGAAGAGGATAGCAGATGAGAAGAGAAGAGGAGGCATAGAAGGTGAGGCAGAAGAGGATTGCAGGTGAGGCGGAAGGAGAATTGCAGGTCGGAAGAGGATAGATGGTGAGGCAGAAGAGAATTGCAGGGAGGCGGAGGAGGATAGAAGGGAGGCAAAAGAGAATTGCAGGTGAGAAGAAGAATTGCAGGTGAGGCGGAAGAGGATAGAATATGAGGCAGAAGAGAATTGCAGGTGAGGCGGAAGAGGAGGCAGAAGAGAAAGGTGAGGCGGAAGAGGATAGCAGGTGAGGCGGAAGAGGATTGCAGGTGGGGCCCGGAAGAGGATAGCAGGTGAGGCAGAAGAGGATTGCAGGTGAGGCGGGAAGAGGATCAAGGTGAGGCAGAAGAGAATTGCAGGTGAGGCGGAAGAGGATTGCAGGTGAGGCAGAAGAGGAGAGGGATGGAAGAGGATGGAATGAGGCGGAAGAGAATTGCAGGTGAGGCGGAAGAGGATAGAAGGTGAGGCAGAAAGAGAATTGCAGGTGAGGCGGAAGAGGATAGCAAGGTGAGGCGGAAGAGGATTGCAGGTGAGGCGGAAGAGGATAGAAGGTGAGGCAGAAGAGAATTGCAGGGAGAGGCGGAAGAGGAAAGAAGGTGAGGCGGAAGAGGATTGAAGGTGAGGCGGGAAGAGGATAGAAGGTGAGGCAGAAGAGAATTGCAGGTGAGGCGGAAGAGGATAGAAGGTGAGGCGGAAGAGAATTGCAGGTGAGGCGGAAGAGGATAGAAGGTGGGCAGAAGAGGGCATATGAGGCGGACAGAAGAGATTGCAGGTGAGGCGGAAGAGGGAGGTGATATGAGGCGGAGGAGGAAGAGGCAGGTGAGGCGGAAGAGGGATTGCAGGTGAGGCGGAAGAGGATAGAAGGTGAGGCAGAAGAGGATTGCAGGTGAGGCGGAAGAGGATAGCATATGAGGCAGAAGAGAATTGCAGGTGAGGCGGAAGAGGATAGAAGGTGAGGCAGAAGAGAATTGCAGGAGGAGGAAGAGGAGAGAAGAGGATAGATGAGGTGAAAGGATAGCAGGTGGAGGCGGAAGAGAATTGCAGGTAGAGGCGGAAGAGGACAGAAGGTGAGGCAGAAGAGAATTGCAGGTGAGGCGGAAGAGGGAAGGATAGAAGATAGTATTGAGGCGGGAAGAGGATTGCAGGTGAGGCGGAAGAGGATGGGGTGGAAGAGGAGAAGAGGCGGAAGAGGCAGGTGGAGAGGCGGGAAGAGGAAGGTGAGGCAGAAGAGAATTGCAGGAGGCGGAAGAGGATAGCAGATGAGGCAGAAGAGAAAGGGAATTGCAGGTGAGGCAGAAGAGATAGCAGATGAGGCGGAAGAGGATTGCAGGAGGCAGAAGAGAATTGCAGGTGAGGGGGAAGAGGATAGAAGAGGCGGAAGAATTGCAGGTGAGGCGGAAGAGGATAGAAGGTGAGGCAGAAGAGAATTGCAGGTGAGGCGGAAGAGGATAGCAGGTGAGGCGGAAGAGAATTAGAGGCAGAAGAGGTGAGGCGGAAGAGGATTGCAGGTGAGGCAGGTGAAGAGAATTGCAGGTGAGGCGGATGAGGAGGTGAGGGAAGAGAATTGGGATGGAAGAGAATTGCAGGTGAGGCGGAAGAGGATTGCAGGTGAGGCAGAAGAGAATTGGGGAAGAGGAGGAGGCGGAAGAGGATTGAAGGTGAGGCGGAAGAGGATTGCAGGTGAGGCGGAAGAGGATTGCAGGTGAGGCGGAAGAGGATAGCATATGAGGCGGAAGAGGATTGCAGGTGAGGCGGATGAGGATGAGGCGGAAGGTGCAGGTGAGGCAGAAGAGAATTGCATATGAGGCGGAAGCGGATTGAAGGGAGGCGGAAGAGGATTGAGGGCGGAAGAGGAAGGCGGAAGAGGTTGCAGGTGAGGAAGAGGATAGAAGGTGAGGCAGAAGAGAATTGCAGGTGAGGCGGAAGAGGGAGGATGAAGAGGAAAGAGAAGAGGCAGAAGAGAATTGAAGGTGAGGTGAGGCGGAAGAGGATTGAAGGTGAGGCGGAAGAGGATAGAGGTGAGGAAGAGAATTGAGGGAGGCGGATAAGGAGGCGGAAGAGGAATTGGCAGGTGAGGCGGAAGAGGATAGCAGGTGAGGCAGAAGAGATTGCAGGTGAGGCGGAAGAGAATTGCAGGAGGATAGGAGGTGGATAGCATATGAGGCGGAAGAGGATTGCAGGTGAGGCGGAAGAGAATAGCAGGTGAGGAAGAGGAAGAAGGTGAGGCAGAAGAACGGAGGGAGGGAAGAGGAGGCAGAAGGTGAGGCGGAAGAGGAATTGCAGGCAGAGGAGGAAGAGGAAGAGGATAGAAGGTGAGGCAGAAGAGAATTGCAGAGGCGGAGGAGGAAGAGGATGGAAGGTGAGAGGCGGAAGAGGAGAGAAGGTGAGGCGGAAGAGGGTGAGGATAGAAGGAAGAGGATTGCAGGTGAGGCGGAAGAAGGTGAGGCAGGAAGAATAGAATATGAGGCGGAAGAGGATTGAAGGTGAGGCGGAAGAGAATTGCAGATGAGGCGGAAGAGGATAGAAGGTGAGGCAGAAGAGAATTGCAGGTGAGGCGGAAGAGGATAGCAGGTGAGGCGGAAGAGGATTGCAGGTGAGGCGGAAGAGGGATGCAGAAGAGAATTGCAGGTGAGGCAGAAGAGAATTGCAGGTGAGGCGGAAGAGGATGGAAGGTGAGGCGGAAGAGAATTGCAGGTGAGGCGGAAGAGGATAGAAGGTGAGGCAGAAGAGGAATTGCAGGTGAGGCGGAAGAGGAAGAGAATTGCAGGAAGAGGAGAGGATAGAAGGTGAGGCAGAAGAGAATTGCAGATGAGGGAAGAGGATCAGATGAGGCGGAAGAGGATAGCATATGAGGCGGAAGAGGATTGCAGGTGAGGCGGAAGAGGAGGTGAGGGAGAGAATTGAGGAAGAGGAAGGTGAGGCAGAAGAGAATTGCAGGTGAGGAGGCGGAAGAGGGGAAGGGAGGGGAAGAAGAGGATTGCAGGTGAGGAAGGGGAGGCGGAGAGAGGATTGCAGGTGAGGCGGAAGAGGATAGGTGAGGCGGAAGAGGATTGCAGGTGAGGCGGAAGAGGATAGAAGGAGGAAGAGGAAGAAGGAAGAGAATTGCAGGTGAGGCGGAAGAGGATAGCAGGTGAGGCGGAAGAGGATAGCATATGAGGCGGAAGAGGATTGCAGGTGAGGCGGAAGAGGATAGAATATGAGGCGGAAGTGGATTGCAGGTGAGGCGGAAGAGGATAGAATATGAGGAAGAGGATAGAAGGTGAGGCGGAAGAGGAAGGAGGCGGAAGAGAATTCAGGTGAGGCGGAAGAGGATAGCAGCAGAAGAAGGCGGGAAGAGGATTGCAGGTGAGGCGGAAGAGGATGAGGCGGAAGAGAAGGTGAGGCAGAAGAGAATTGGTGGAGGGAAGAGGATTGGAGGAGGCGGAAGAGGATAGGAAGGTGAGGCAGAAGAGAATTGCAGGTGAGGCGGAAGAGGATAGAAGGTGAGGCAGAAGAGAATTGCAGGTTAGCATGAGGCGAAGAGAATTGAGGTGAGGTGGAAGAGGAAGGTGAGGATGAGGCGGAAGAGGATAGCAGGTGAGAAGAGAATTGCATATGAGGCGGAAGAGGATAGCATATGAGGCGGAAAGGTGAAGAGGCAGGAGGCGGAAGCAGATGAGGCAGGAAGAGAGGCAGGTGAGTGGAAGAGGAAGAGGAGGCAGAAGAAGGTGAGGCGGAAGAGGATTGCAGGTGAGGCGGAAGAGGATAGCATATGAGGCGGAAGAGGATTGCAGAGTGAGGCGGAAGAGGGATGGAAGAGGAAGGTGAGGCAGAAAGAATTGCAGGTGAGAAGAGGATTGCAGGTGAGGAGGAAGAAGAGGGGAAGAGGATGGAAGGTGAGGCAGAAGAGAATTGCAGGTGAGGCGGAAGAGGATAGAAGATGAGGAAAGAAGAGAATTGCAGGTGAGGCAGAGGCGGAAGAGGAAGAGGATATGAGGTGAGGGAAGAGGATTGCAGGTGAGGCGGAAGAGGATAGAAGGTGAGGCAGAAGAGAATTGCAGGTGAGGCGGAAGAGGATTGAAGGTGAGGCGGAAGAGAATACATAGGTGAGGCGGAAGAGGATAGAAGGTGAGGCAGAAGAGAAGGTGAGGCGGATGAGATAGAAAGAGGGAAGAGAATTGCAGGATGAGGCGGAAGAGGATAGAAGGTGAGGCAGAAGAGAATTGCAGGTGAGGCGGAAGAGGATAGGTGAGGTGAGGCAGAAGAGAATTGCAGGCAGGTGAGGAGGTGGAAGAGGATGAGAAGGTGAGGCGGTGGAAGAGAATTGCAGGTGAGGCGGAAGAGGATAGAAGGCGGAAGAGGCAGAAGAAGAGGATTGCAGGTGAGGCGGAAGAGGATAGGAAGGTGAGGCAGAAGAGAATTGCAGGCGGAAGAGGAAAGAAGCAGGCAGAAGAATTGCAGGTGAGGCGGAAGAAAATTGCAGGTGAGGGAAAGAAGAAGAATTGGGTAGGTGAGGGAAGAGGAAGGTGAGGCGGAAGAGAATTGCAGGTGAGGCGGAAGAGGATGGAAGGTGAGGCGGAAGAGAATTGCAGGTGAGGCGGAAGAGGAGAAGGTGAGGCAGAGGTGAGGCAGAAGAATTGCAGGTGAGGCGGAAGAGGATAGAAGGTGAGGCAGAAGAGAATTGCAGGTGAGGCGGAAGAGGATAGAAGGTGAGGCGGAAGAGAATTGCAGGTGAGGCGGAAGAGGATAGAAGGTGAGGCAGAAGAGAATTGCAGGTGAGGCGGAAGAGGATAGCAGGTGAGGCAGAAGAGAATTGCAGGTGAGGCGGAAGAGGATAGATCATGAGGCGGAAGAGGGATAGAAGGTGAGGAGGAAGAGGAAAGAGGCGGGGAAGAGGAGGCAGAAGAGTGAGGCGGAAGAGGATAGCAGGTGAGGCGGAAGAGGATAGCAGGTGAGGCGGAAGAGGATTGCAGGTGAGGCGGAATGTCTGAGGCGGAAAGGACAAGGCGGAACGAAATGCAGGTGAGGAGAGGAACTTGAAACAAATTCATGAGGCGGAATATAGGCAGAAGAGGCGGAAATGTAGGATAGAAGGTGAGGCGGAAGAGATTTACATTGCTTGTAAAGAGAGAATTGCATGCGTCCCAGAGGCAGAAGAATTAGGTGACCGATTATTTCATCGTGATAATGTTGCATTATATCTAGAATTAAGAATATAGAAATTAAGTCCACATATTGGAGGAGAGTGTTATCAATGATAATGTTCTAACGTTGAATCCGCGGTTATCTCCTTTTAACCATCTCTCTCAGTGATTTTTTTTTATTTTTAGATGGACCTTTTATCATATAAAAGATGGTGAGTCGCGAGGAATTTTGGGAAACCAGTGGTCTAGTAGAATACCCGTTCTACGAACAGAGAAGTGTAAACTGTCAATTCTATTATCCATCTAATAACCCTATATAAACAACATATTCAACACGATATCTATGATTTATAGTCTGCTCTATCCTTATGCTGTATCTACTTAAATTTCCTGTTCTCGATAAATATATACTTAATGCTGGGTATGAAAATCAAGCATGAATAATTTTCTAATGTTTATCTTAATGGTGATTATAAAAATCCATTCAACAAACTTTGTATGTTTTCAACTGTTTAAATAATTCGGTATGGTTTTAAGAAATCAATTAAACAACTTATGTTGACTTATTTTTTCGGTTGCATTTGACTAATTTTTTCTATTTTGTAATGTGATGTATCAGGCAACGATGCCTATTTTTAAGAAAGATCTAAGCATCTTCTGAAACTTGAAATGACAGAAGAAATTGAATTTTGAATAGTCATAAATAAATCCGGTTTATACAAACACGAGGAATGAAAAATAAAAACTTTTTTGTCAGAGATTTTGTTTATATGTGGCAATTTAAAAAAAAAAAAGATTTAAAGCTAAATAATAAATATACTATTTTTTTTATTAAAATAAGCCTTTAACAATTGTTCTGCAAATTAAATTTTCGCTTATATTGCAAAAAAAAGTTATCATATATATATATATATATATATATATATATATATATATATATATATATGTGTGTGTGTGTGTGTGTGTGTGTGTGTGTGTGTGTGTGTGTGTGTGTGCATGTATAGAGTGGGGGAAAATAATTATTTCATTTCTTGCTGATTTTCTGAGTTTTCTAGCTTGAAAGTGAGAGATAGAATTTTTTTAAAAATCTAAAAAATCACATTATATTAATCTTTGAACATTTATTTCTATTTAATTGAAAAACTAAGTATTGCACCCCATAGCAAAACATAACATATTATTTGGTGAAGAAACCCTTGTAGGCAAGCACAGCAGCTAGAAGTTTCCTGTAGTTGGTTATCAAGATTTTACAGATCCCAGGGAGGATATTTTGTCCACTCCTCTTGGCAGATCCTCTCGAAATGCTAGTAGTTTTTAGTTGGGCAACTCGATGCTTCAACTCCCTCCACAGATTTTCTAAAGGAATTACGCCCAAAGAATGACTAGGCCACTCCATTACTCTTCTTGATGTACTCCTTCGTTGCCTTAGCCGTATGCTTCTGGTCATTATCATGTTGGAACACGCTTCGATGACCCATCTTCAGTGTCCTGGCTGAGGAGAGACGGTTTACACTCAAGATTTCCCTTCACTTGGCTACATCCATCTTTCCTTCGACCCAGTGTAGTCATCATATTCCCATTAGCAGAGAAACACACCCAATGCATAATGTTTTTTTATCAACATGCTTAATGGTTGGGGTGGTGTTCTTGTGGTCCAAGTCAGCTTTTTTTGCCTCCAAACACGTCGAGTTGATGCTAAAAACACGATTTTTAGTCTCGTCTGACCAGAACACTTTCTCCCAACACTCATCTGAATTATCCAGGTGCACATGTGCAAACGTCTGACGGACATGTACATGTGCCTTCTTGAGTATGAGGACTTTGCGGGCACTACATCATTTCAGTCCACTATGATGTAGTTTGTTACTAATGGTCATCTTGGTGACTGATCTCATCTGCCTCGAGATCATCAACAAGCATTTGTCGCGTAGTTCGGAGTTGTTCTCATCATCAGTTTCCCTTCACATTAGGAGATCTTGCTTGGAGCTCCAGACCGAGGGAGAGTAATAGTCAATTTGTGTTTCTTCCATTTTCTTATTGTCGCACCAACAGTTGACTTTTTCTCACTTGTCTTGCAGCCCATTCCAGTCTTGTGCTGGTATATAATTTTATCCCGGATTTCCTTAGACAATTCTTTCGTCTTTCCCATTGAGGAGAGATTAGATTCTGATTCATTGAATGATTCTGTGAACTAGTGTCTTTTATACAGGTAATGAGTACTTGATTAGGAGTAATAATTGAGTAATAGGACTAGTCTGCTGGTCACATAACTGGTCTGTGGGGAGTGAATCATTGCTTGTTGGTAGAGGTTGAAATATTTATTTTTTCAATAAAAAAGAAATAAATGTTCAAAAATTAATACAACGTGATTTTCTAGATTTTTTTTATATTCAACCTCTCACTTTCAAGATGGACATACCCTGAAAATTATAGACAGTTCCTAGTTTTGTGAGGTGGCAAACTCAGGACATAAGAAGTGGATGAAATACTTATTTTCCCCTATATAGATATATATATATATATATATATATATATACGCACACACACACACACACACACACACACACATATATATATATATATATATATATATATATATATATATATATATATAGGTTAATTAGAAAAACAGTGTTTCCTACTGCTTCACCTAAATCGAACTCACCGGTCTACTGGCGTATTTCGTATAGATAAACGTTAAATTTTCACTTTTTCCCTGCCGTGCGAAGATAGCCTCGGGGTAGAATCGGACGTCTTGCCACACTTAAGAGCTGTGATACAGCGAAACAGCGGCGCTATATTGAGTCTGATTCGCTACTTTTTCGTCACCGTGGCCCGTTGGTATGACGTTTGCCGGATAACGTAACTGTCCGGGTTTCAGTTCTCTGTGGTGGATGCGCACTGCTGATGAGTCCCAAATATAGCATGAAACGGCCGTCCAGTGCTTTCTGCATTCCGTTGAGGTTTCTTTCAGATTCGATGAATTCTTATATATATATATATATATATATATATATATATATATATATATATATATATATATATAGATGCTTGGGATTATGGCTCTTCCCGATTTCCTGGCTTTTGTAGCACTAAATAAATTATGTGTTTTTGCTATCACTTCTAAACTTTACTCCGCCATCCATTTAACCAAACTCTCTAGATAATTTATGATTTATTTTCTTCTTTTATTCTTAACTCCAATCTGTCTTGTGAGTATCAAATTTTCCAAACGCACTTTTCTCATTATATGTCATACAAGTTTCATTTCTCTCTTCCTGGTGTTAATTATAAGCGTCCTTTTTGTTGCTATTTTTGCTAAAACTTCGTCGTTGCTCATATTAGCTTACTTTAAATGATTGTATCGGTGGATGCAAACCAGAAATACAAACACAGACAACCTGGAATTTTGATAAGATATTGCTGTAAGTATATCACTCAGAGCAATAAAAACAAGTAACGAAGAGCCATTATAATCACGTTCTGGCACGGCCTATAAAAGAAGAAAAATAACATGGTTTGACTGGCAAGTCAACATTCCATTTTTATTAAACAAGGCTGAGATTACATCGAATAACGTGACTCATTTTTTTAAAAAAAATAATTTCACATTAAGGAAGGCAATAACTCCCCTAAGACTCAAGGGGATCACTGAGAGTTATAGAATATGAAAAATTAAGGAGAGGGGACAATAGAATAACAAGTTTTAAGATAGAAGATAAAGTTTGGCATTGTATATACATATTTGAAGATCACTTTGACATGAAAGCAAGAAGCCGAAAAAGTGTTCTACAACAGAGGAGTACGAAGGAAGAAACTGTTAGCATAGAACTTACGGTTACATCTAGCCATTTCTACACTAAAATAATGAGACCTTGCCGCCAATCCAGTACAGCACTTAAATTAATAAAGTCGATGTTTCATAGATGCAAGTTCACCACTGTTAACTTTTCCCTATGG